ATCTGTTTTCTTGAGCTCATCCTACCCACCCTATGACCGTATAGTTTTCAACAAGCATTGTGCTCCCATTGGAAACCTAGCTTTTGAGTGAAATCAAAATTGAGCGAATGTCGGAGAAAGCATAGAGATCAAGCTGTGAAGACGTTCTGTTCAGGGAAGTTCTTTAGTTTTCTTGTTTTCTGTTTTCTCAGAATACATCTTGTGTCAAGAGATTTGCTGTGGAAGAGAATCGAGTCCTGTAGGAGCAGCGGAGAGTAAAGGTGAGAAATGTGCAGTCTTGTTTGTTTTCTTTCCCTTTGATATTGACTGATGTTAGTGAAAAGATATAATAAGAGTCAGAAGACCAAGTAGTAGGCTAAATGGCAGAGACAGCAATTAAGATTAGCAGGCTGCTGCCAGTAACTAGTGTTTCTTTTATACATTTATAAGCATTTTGATAAAAATGTGTGGCAGAGACAGCACCTAAGATTAGCAAGCTGCTGCCAATAACTAGTGATGTTTTATGTATTTATAAGCAGTCTGGTAAAAACTCGTGGCAGAGACAGCACCTAAGATTAGCAAGCTGCTGCCAATAACTAGTGATGTTTTATATATTTTTAAGCATTCTGGTAAAAACTCGTGGCAGAGACAGCACCTAAGATTAGCAAGCTGCTGCCAATACCTAGTGTTTTTAAAAAAAATACATTTATAAGCATTCTGGTATAACCTTGCGGCAGGGTCAGCAACTAAGATTAGCAAGCTGCTGCCTATAAAACTACAGTACACGAACATTGGCTTCTGACTTACTATATATGAAAAAACGAACATGCAATTCTCCTTGCAAATTCTTAATTGAATCATTCGATGACAATGCACCATTTGTATTTCAAACGATTGTTGGTTTCATTTCCCTTTGTGTTGTTCAACTTTTTTCCTTTTGCTGTTCGAGCTGCCCATGTAAGTAGGGCCATGCATGCTTTTACACTTTACTGAAATTGTATTCAGACATTCTCCACTCTCTTTTTTAGGTATTTAAGATGTAGCACACGTTACTGAAATTGTATTCAGATATTCTCCACTCTTATTTTAGGTAGTTAAGATGTTGCAAAAGAATGGTAGGATTCTCTTCAAATGAAGAAATAATTACTTGATTGATTGCTTATCTCATGCTACAGTGAAAAGAACGGGAAGTAGTTTTTACTGGCAGAAAAAGCACCTAATATTACCAAGCTTCTGCCAATAATCTGGCCTAGGAGTAAAGTTTCTGAAGTGAGAGATATTGTTATTACAAAACGACTGATACAGCCCCTAAGCTTAGCATGCTGCAGTCAATGATGAAATAGAATAGGGTATTTATATATTGCAGATACAGCACCTAAAAATAACAAGCTGCTGCCTACAGAATCCTAAAAAAGATGAAGATTGATTGAATCTTTATAGGCCAGGGCTTAGCCATTTTAAGATACAGCAGCTAAGAACAGTAACGTGATGCCTATGTATGAATTCTTCTTCCGAGCGAGGATGTTCAGCACTCCTTCCCTCCTACCACCATCCTGGCAAAGGACCGGCACTGGAGTACCCAAATAGAGGCGTCTCTTATGGACCAGACAGGTTCGTTTTTAATTTAATGTCCAAAAGGGAAGTAAAGGTTGAATGGGAAGTCGGTGTTATAATTAGAAAGGTTTCAAAAGACTGACGGTCAAGCAGGAAATGCACCCCGCTGTTATTGTAAATGAAAATGTAACACACATTCTGACATCCGTAAGCATTCCACATTCTTGAGCATTTCTTACCTACATTATGACCTTGTATTTTTCCACATGCATTGAAATTCATGGAGACATAGCATTTAATTCTGCACCTAGAGTGAAACTTAAAGCATAGAAACCAAAGTGTAAAAACTTCCTTTTTGTGGAGGTACAGTAATTATCTCCGGTTTTCTATCTTCTCTTAGAGTACATCCTGTTTCAAGAGGTGTATTCTGGAAGAGCGTCGAGTCATGTAGGACCATACAAGAGAAAAGGTGAGAATTGCTAGGTTACTTGTCTTCTTTGCTTCCCAAGCATACTGATTTAAAAGGAGAGGTACCTGAAAACTTGGGGAAACTATGCTTTTGTGCGAGAAATAAAGGACACGAACATTCAGAAATCTTTCCCCATTCCATTTTCTTTAGCTTGTCGTTCTTACGAAGGGATCTGTTTTCTTGAGCTCATCCTACCCACCCTATGACCATATAGTTTTCAACAAGCATTGTGCTCCCATTGGAAACCTAGCTTTTGAGTGAAATCAAAATTGAGCGAATGTCGGGGAAAGCATAGAGATCAAGCTGTGAAGACGTTCTGTTCAGGGAAGTTCTTTAGTTTTCTTGTTTTCTGTTTTCTCAGAATACATCTTGTGTCAAGAGATTTGCTGTGGAAGAGAATCGAGTCCTGTAGGAGCAGCGGAGAGTAAAGGTGAGAAATGTGCAGTCTTGTTTGTTTTCTTTCCCTTTGAAATTGACTGATGTTAGTGAAAAGATATAATAAGAGTCAGAAGACCAAGTAGTAGGCTAAATGGCAGAGACAGCAATTAAGATTAGCAGGCTGCTGCCAATAACTAGTGTTTCTTTTATACATTTATAAGCATTTTGATAAAATTTGTGGCAGAGACAGCACCTAAGATTAGCAAGCTGCTGCCAATAACTAGTGATGTTTTATGTATTTATAAGCAGTCTGGTAAAAACTCGTGGCAGAGACAGCACCTAAGATTAGCAAGCTGCTGCCAATAACTAGTGATGTTTTATATATTTTTAAGCATTCTGGTAAAAACTCGTGGCAGAGACAGCACCTAAGATTAGCAAGCTGCTGCCAATAACTAGTGATGTTTTATATATTTATAAGCAGTCTGATAAAAACTTGTGGCAGAGACAGCACCTAAGATTAGCAAGCTGCTGCCAATAACTAGTGATGTTTTATATATTTTTAAGCATTCTGGTAAAAACTCGTGGCAGAGACAGCACCTAAGATTAGCAAGCTGCTGCCAATACCTAGTGTTTTTAAAAAAAATACATTTATAAGCATTCTGGTATAACCTTGCGGCAGGGTCAGCAACTAAGATTAGCAAGCTGCTGCCTATAAAACTACAGTACACGAACATTGGCTTCTGACTTACTATATATGAAAAAACGAACATGCAATTCTCCTTGCAAATTCTTAATTGAATCATTCGATGACAATGCACCATTTGTATTTCAAACGATTGTTGGTTTCATTTCCCTTTGTGTTGTTCAACTTTTTTCCTTTTGCTGTTCGAGCTGCCCATGTAAGTAGGGCCATGCATGCTTTTACACTTTACTGAAATTGTATTCAGACATTCTCCACTCTCTTTTTTAGGTATTTAAGATGTAGCACACGTTACTGAAATTGTATTCAGATATTCTCCACTCTTATTTTAGATAGTTAAGATGTTGCAAAAGAATGGTAGGATTCTCTTCAAATGAAGAAATAATTACTTGATTGATTGCTTATCTCATGCTACAGTGAAAAGAACGGGAAGTAGTTTTTACTGGCAGAAAAAGCACCTAATATTACCAAGCTTCTGCCAATAATCTGGCCTAGGAGTAAAGTTTCTGAAGTGAGAGATATTGTTATTACAAAACGACTGATACAGCCCCTAAGCTTAGCATGCTGCAGTCAATGATGAAATAGAATAGGGTATTTATATATTGCAGATACAGCACCTAAAAATAACAAGCTGCTGCCTACAGAATCCTAAAAAAGATGAAGATTGATTGAATCTTTATAGGCCAGGGCTTAGCCATTTTAAGATACAGCAGCTAAGAACAGTAACGTGATGCCTATGTATGAATTCTTCTTCCGAGCGAGGATGTTCAGCACTCCTTCCCTCCTACCACCATCCTGGCAAAGGACCGGCACTGGAGTACCCAAATAGAGGCGTCTCTTATGGACCAGACAGGTTCGTTTTTAATTTAATGTCCAAAAGGGAAGTAAAGGTTGAATGGGAAGTCGGTGTTATAATTAGAAAGGTTTCAAAAGACTGACGGTCAAGCAGGAAATGCACCCCGCTGTTATTGTAAATGAAAATGTAACACACATTCTGACATCCGTAAGCATTCCACATTCTTGAGCATTTCTTACCTACATTATGACCTTGTATTTTTCCACATGCATTGAAATTCATGGAGACATAGCATTTAATTCTGCACCTAGAGTGAAACTTAAAGCATAGAAACCAAAGTGTAAAAACTTCCTTTTTGTGGAGGTACAGTAATTATCTCCGGTTTTCTATCTTCTCTTAGAGTACATCCTGTTTCAAGAGGTGTATTCTGGAAGAGCGTCGAGTCATGTAGGACCATACAAGAGAAAAGGTGAGAATTGCTAGGTTACTTGTCTTCTTTGCTTCCCAAGCATACTGATTTAAAAGGAGAGGTACCTGAAAACTTGGGGAAACTATGCTTTTGTGCGAGAAATAAAGGACACGAACATTCAGAAATCTTTCCCCATTCCATTTTCTTTAGCTTGTCGTTCTTACGAAGGGATCTGTTTTCTTGAGCTCATCCTACCCACCCTATGACCATATAGTTTTCAACAAGCATTGTGCTCCCATTGGAAACCTAGCTTTTGAGTGAAATCAAAATTGAGCGAATGTCGGGGAAAGCATAGAGATCAAGCTGTGAAGACGTTCTGTTCAGGGAAGTTCTTTAGTTTTCTTGTTTTCTGTTTTCTCAGAATACATCTTGTGTCAAGAGATTTGCTGTGGAAGAGAATCGAGTCCTGTAGGAGCAGCGGAGAGTAAAGGTGAGAAATGTGCAGTCTTGTTTGTTTTCTTTCCCTTTGAAATTGACTGATGTTAGTGAAAAGATATAATAAGAGTCAGAAGACCAAGTAGTAGGCTAAATGGCAGAGACAGCAATTAAGATTAGCAGGCTGCTGCCAATAACTAGTGTTTCTTTTATACATTTATAAGCATTTTGATAAAAATGTGTGGCAGAGACAGCACCTAAGATTAGCAAGCTGCTGCCAATAACTAGTGATGTTTTATGTATTCATAAGCAGTCTGGTAAAAACTCGTGGCAGAGACAGCACCTAAGATTAGCAAGCTGCTGCCAATAACTAGTGATGTTTTATATATTTATAAGCAGTCTGGTAAAAACTTGTGGCAGAGACAGCACCTAAGATTAGCAAGCTGCTGCCAATAACTAGTGATGTTTTATGTATTCATAAGCAGTCTGGTAAAAACTCGTGGCAGAGACAGCACCTAAGATTAGCAAGCTGCTGCCAATACCTAGTGTTTTAAAAAAAAATACATTTATAAGCATTCTGGTATAACCTTGCGGCAGGGTCAGCAACTAAGATTAGCAAGCTGCTGCCTATAAAACTACAGTAGACGAACATTGGCTTCTGACTTACTATATATGAAAAAACGAACATGCAATTCTCCTTGCAAATTCTTAATTGAATCATTCGATGACAATGCACCATTTGTATTTCAAACGATTGTTGGTTTCATTTCCCTTTGTGTTGTTCAACTTTTTTCCTTTTGCTGTTCGAGCTGCCCATGTAAGTAGGGCCATGCATGCTTTTACACTTTACTGAAATTGTATTCAGATATTCTCCACTCTCTTTTTTAGGTATTTAAGATGTAGCACACGTTACTGAAATTGTATTCAGATATTCTCCACTCTTATTTTAGGTAGTTAAGATGTTGCAAAAGAATGGTAGGATTCTCTTCAAATGAAGAAATAATTACTTGATTGATTGCTTATTTCATGCTACAGTGAAAAGAACGGGAAGTAGTTTTTACTGGCAGAAAAAGCACCTAATATTACCAAGCTTCTGCCAATAATCTGGCCTAGGAGTAAAGTTTCTGAAGTGAGAGATATTGTTATTACAAAACGACTGATACAGCCCCTAAGCTTAGCATGCTGCAGTCAATGATGAAATAGAATAGGGTATTTATATATTGCAGATACAGCACCTAAAAATAACAAGCTGCTGCCTACAGAATCCTAAAAAAGATGAAGATTGATTGAATCTTTATAGGCCAGGGCTTAGCCATTTTAAGATACAGCAGCTAAGAACAGTAACGTGATGCCTATGTATGAATTCTTCTTCCGAGCGAGGATGTTCAGCACTCCTTCCCTCCTACCACCATCCTGGCAAAGGACCGGCACTGGAGTACCCAAATAGAGGCGTCTCTTATGGACCAGACAGGTTCGTTTTTAATTTAATGTCCAAAAGGGAAGTAAAGGTTGAATGGGAAGTCGGTGTTATAATTAGAAAGGTTTCAAAAGACTGACGGTCAAGCAGGAAATGCACCCCGCTGTTATTGTAAATGAAAATGTAACACACATTCTGACAACCGTAAGCATTCCACATTCTTGAGCATTTCTTACCTACATTATGACCTTGTATTTTTCCACATGCATTGAAATTCATGGAGACATAGCATTTAATTCTGCACCTAGAGTGAAACTTAAAGCATAGAAACCAAAGTGTAAAAACTTCCTTTTTGTGGAGGTACAGTAATTATCTCCGGTTTTCTATCTTCTCTTAGAGTACATCCTGTTTCAAGAGGTGTATTCTGGAAGAGCGTCGAGTCATGTAGGACCATACAAGAGAAAAGGTGAGAATTGCTAGGTTACTTGTCTTCTTTGCTTCCCAAGCATACTGATTTAAAAGGAGAGGTACCTGAAAACTTGGGGAAACTATGCTTTTGTGCGAGAAATAAAGGACACGAACATTCAGAAATCTTTCCCCATTCCATTTTCTTTAGCTTGTCGTTCTTACGAAGGGATCTGTTTTCTTGAGCTCATCCTACCCACCCTATGACCATATAGTTTTCAACAAGCATTGTGCTCCCATTGGAAACCTAGCTTTTGAGTGAAATCAAAATTGAGCGAATGTCGGGGAAAGCATAGAGATCAAGCTGTGAAGACGTTCTGTTCAGGGAAGTTCTTTAGTTTTCTTGTTTTCTGTTTTCTCAGAATACATCTTGTGTCAAGAGATTTGCTGTGGAAGAGAATCGAGTCCTGTAGGAGCAGCGGAGAGTAAAGGTGAGAAATGTGCAGTCTTGTTTGTTTTCTTTCCCTTTGAAATTGACTGATGTTAGTGAAAAGATATAATAAGAGTCAGAAGACCAAGTAGTAGGCTAAATGGCAGAGACAGCAATTAAGATTAGCAGGCTGCTGCCAGTAACTAGTGTTTCTTTTATACATTTATAAGCATTTTGATAAAAATGTGTGGCAGAGACAGCACCTAAGATTAGCAAGCTGCTGCCAATAACTAGTGATGTTTTATGTATTTATAAGCAGTCTGGTAAAAACTCGTGGCAGAGACAGCACCTAAGATTAGCAAGCTGCTGCCAATAACTAGTGATGTTTTATATATTTTTAAGCATTCTGGTAAAAACTCGTGGCAGAGACAGCACCTAAGATTAGCAAGCTGCTGCCAATAACTAGTGATGTTTTATATATTTATAAGCAGTCTGGTAAAAACTTGTGGCAGAGACAGCACCTAAGATTAGCAAGCTGCTGCCAATAACTAGTGATGTTTTATATATTTTTAAGCATTCTGGTAAAAACTCGTGGCAGAGACAGCACCTAAGATTAGCAAGCTGCTGCCAATACCTAGTGTTTTTAAAAAAAATACATTTATAAGCATTCTGGTATAACCTTGCGGCAGGGTCAGCAACTAAGATTAGCAAGCTGCTGCCTATAAAACTACAGTAGACGAACATTGGCTTCTGACTTACTATATATGAAAAAACGAACATGCAATTCTCCTTGCAAATTCTTAATTGAATCATTCGATGACAATGCACCATTTGTATTTCAAACGATTGTTGGTTTCATTTCCCTTTGTGTTGTTCAACTTTTTTCCTTTTGCTGTTCGAGCTGCCCATGTAAGTAGGGCCATGCATGCTTTTACACTTTACTGAAATTGTATTCAGATATTCTCCACTCTCTTTTTTAGGTATTTAAGATGTAGCACACGTTACTGAAATTGTATTCAGATATTCTCCACTCTTATTTTAGGTAGTTAAGATGTTGCAAAAGAATGGTAGGATTCTCTTCAAATGAAGAAATAATTACTTGATTGATTGCTTATTTCATGCTACAGTGAAAAGAACGGGAAGTAGTTTTTACTGGCAGAAAAAGCACCTAATATTACCAAGCTTCTGCCAATAATCTGGCCTAGGAGTAAAGTTTCTGAAGTGAGAGATATTGTTATTACAAAACGACTGATACAGCCCCTAAGCTTAGCATGCTGCAGTCAATGATGAAATAGAATAGGGTATTTATATATTGCAGATACAGCACCTAAAAATAACAAGCTGCTGCCTAGAGAATCCTAAAAAAGATGAAGATTGATTGAATCTTTATAGGCCAGGGCTTAGCCATTTTAAGATACAGCAGCTAAGAACAGTAACGTGATGCCTATGTATGAATTCTTCTTCCGAGCGAGGATGTTCAGCACTCCTTCCCTCCTACCACCATCCTGGCAAAGGACCGGCACTGGAGTACCCAAATAGAGGCGTCTCTTATGGACCAGACAGGTTCGTTTTTAATTTAATGTCCAAAAGGGAAGTAAAGGTTGAATGGGAAGTCGGTGTTATAATTAGAAAGGTTTCAAAAGACTGACGGTCAAGCAGGAAATGCACCCCGCTGTTATTGTAAATGAAAATGTAACACACATTCTGACATCCGTAAGCATTCCACATTCTTGAGCATTTCTTACCTACATTATGACCTTGTATTTTTCCACATGCATTGAAATTCATGGAGACATAGCATTTAATTCTGCACCTAGAGTGAAACTTAAAGCATAGAAACCAAAGTGTAAAAACTTCCTTTTTGTGGAGGTACAGTAATTATCTCCGGTTTTCTATCTTCTCTTAGAGTACATCCTGTTTCAAGAGGTGTATTCTGGAAGAGCGTCGAGTCATGTAGGACCATACAAGAGAAAAGGTGAGAATTGCTAGGTTACTTGTCTTCTTTGCTTCCCAAGCATACTGATTTAAAAGGAGAGGTACCTGAAAACTTGGGGAAACTATGCTTTTGTGCGAGAAATAAAGGACACGAACATTCAGAAATCTTTCCCCATTCCATTTTCTTTAGCTTGTCGTTCTTACGAAGGGATCTGTTTTCTTGAGCTCATCCTACCCACCCTATGACCATATAGTTTTCAACAAGCATTGTGCTCCCATTGGAAACCTAGCTTTTGAGTGAAATCAAAATTGAGCGAATGTCGGGGAAAGCATAGAGATCAAGCTGTGAAGACGTTCTGTTCAGGGAAGTTCTTTAGTTTTCTTGTTTTCTGTTTTCTCAGAATACATCTTGTGTCAAGAGATTTGCTGTGGAAGAGAATCGAGTCCTGTAGGAGCAGCGGAGAGTAAAGGTGAGAAATGTGCAGTCTTGTTTGTTTTCTTTCCCTTTGAAATTGACTGATGTTAGTGAAAAGATATAATAAGAGTCAGAAGACCAAGTAGTAGGCTAAATGGCAGAGACAGCAATTAAGATTAGCAGGCTGCTGCCAGTAACTAGTGTTTCTTTTATACATTTATAAGCATTTTGATAAAAATGTGTGGCAGAGACAGCACCTAAGATTAGCAAGCTGCTGCCAATAACTAGTGATGTTTTATATATTTTTAAGCATTCTGGTAAAAACTCGTGGCAGAGACAGCACCTAAGATTAGCAAGCTGCTGCCAATAACTAGTGATGTTTTATATATTTATAAGCAGTCTGGTAAAAACTTGTGGCAGAGACAGCACCTAAGATTAGCAAGCTGCTGCCAATAACTAGTGATGTTTTATATATTTTTAAGCATTCTGGTAAAAACTCGTGGCAGAGACAGCACCTAAGATTAGCAAGCTGCTGCCAATACCTAGTGTTTTTAAAAAAAATACATTTATAAGCATTCTGGTATAACCTTGCGGCAGGGTCAGCAACTAAGATTAGCAAGCTGCTGCCTATAAAACTACAGTAGACGAACATTGGCTTCTGACTTACTATATATGAAAAAACGAACATGCAATTCTCCTTGCAAATTCTTAATTGAATCATTCGATGACAATGCACCATTTGTATTTCAAACGATTGTTGGTTTCATTTCCCTTTGTGTTGTTCAACTTTTTTCCTTTTGCTGTTCGAGCTGCCCATGTAAGTAGGGCCATGCATGCTTTTACACTTTACTGAAATTGTATTCAGATATTCTCCACTCTCTTTTTTAGGTATTTAAGATGTAGCACACGTTACTGAAATTGTATTCAGATATTCTCCACTCTTATTTTAGGTAGTTAAGATGTTGCAAAAGAATGGTAGGATTCTCTTCAAATGAAGAAATAATTACTTGATTGATTGCTTATTTCATGCTACAGTGAAAAGAACGGGAAGTAGTTTTTACTGGCAGAAAAAGCACCTAATATTACCAAGCTTCTGCCAATAATCTGGCCTAGGAGTAAAGTTTCTGAAGTGAGAGATATTGTTATTACAAAACGACTGATACAGCCCCTAAGCTTAGCATGCTGCAGTCAATGATGAAATAGAATAGGGTATTTATATATTGCAGATACAGCACCTAAAAATAACAAGCTGCTGCCTAGAGAATCCTAAAAAAGATGAAGATTGATTGAATCTTTATAGGCCAGGGCTTAGCCATTTTAAGATACAGCAGCTAAGAACAGTAACGTGATGCCTATGTATGAATTCTTCTTCCGAGCGAGGATGTTCAGCACTCCTTCCCTCCTACCACCATCCTGGCAAAGGACCGGCACTGGAGTACCCAAATAGAGGCGTCTCTTATGGACCAGACAGGTTCGTTTTTAATTTAATGTCCAAAAGGGAAGTAAAGGTTGAATGGGAAGTCGGTGTTATAATTAGAAAGGTTTCAAAAGACTGACGGTCAAGCAGGAAATGCACCCCGCTGTTATTGTAAATGAAAATGTAACACACATTCTGACAACCGTAAGCATTCCACATTCTTGAGCATTTCTTACCTACATTATGACCTTGTATTTTTCCACATGCATTGAAATTCATGGAGACATAGCATTTAATTCTGCACCTAGAGTGAAACTTAAAGCATAGAAACCAAAGTGTAAAAACTTCCTTTTTGTGGAGGTACAGTAATTATCTCCGGTTTTCTATCTTCTCTTAGAGTACATCCTGTTTCAAGAGGTGTATTCTGGAAGAGCGTCGAGTCATGTAGGACCATACAAGAGAAAAGGTGAGAATTGCTAGGTTACTTGTCTTCTTTGCTTCCCAAGCATACTGATTTAAAAGGAGAGGTACCTGAAAACTTGGGGAAACTATGCTTTTGTGCGAGAAATAAAGGACACGAACATTCAGAAATCTTTCCCCATTCCATTTTCTTTAGCTTGTCGTTCTTACGAAGGGATCTGTTTTCTTGAGCTCATCCTACCCACCCTATGACCATATAGTTTTCAACAAGCATTGTGCTCCCATTGGAAACCTAGCTTTTGAGTGAAATCAAAATTGAGCGAATGTCGGGGAAAGCATAGAGATCAAGCTGTGAAGACGTTCTGTTCAGGGAAGTTCTTTAGTTTTCTTGTTTTCTGTTTTCTCAGAATACATCTTGTGTCAAGAGATTTGCTGTGGAAGAGAATCGAGTCCTGTAGGAGCAGCGGAGAGTAAAGGTGAGAAATGTGCAGTCTTGTTTGTTTTCTTTCCCTTTGAAATTGACTGATGTTAGTGAAAAGATATAATAAGAGTCAGAAGACCAAGTAGTAGGCTAAATGGCAGAGACAGCAATTAAGATTAGCAGGCTGCTGCCAGTAACTAGTGTTTCTTTTATACATTTATAAGCATTTTGATAAAAATGTGTGGCAGAGACAGCACCTAAGATTAGCAAGCTGCTGCCAATAACTAGTGATGTTTTATGTATTTATAAGCAGTCTGGTAAAAACTCGTGGCAGAGACAGCACCTAAGATTAGCAAGCTGCTGCCAATAACTAGTGATGTTTTATATATTTTTAAGCATTCTGGTAAAAACTCGTGGCAGAGACAGCACCTAAGATTAGCAAGCTGCTGCCAATAACTAGTGATGTTTTATATATTTATAAGCAGTCTGGTAAAAACTTGTGGCAGAGACAGCACCTAAGATTAGCAAGCTGCTGCCAATAACTAGTGATGTTTTATATATTTTTAAGCATTCTGGTAAAAACTCGTGGCAGAGACAGCACCTAAGATTAGCAAGCTGCTGCCAATAACTAGTGATGTTTTATATATTTATAAGCAGTCTGGTAAAAACTCGTGGCAGAGACAGCACCTAAGATTAGCAAGCTGCTGCCAATACCTAGTGTTTTTAAAAAAAATACATTTATAAGCATTCTGGTATAACCTTGCGGCAGGGTCAGCAACTAAGATTAGCAAGCTGCTGCCTATAAAACTACAGTACACGAACATTGGCTTCTGACTTACTATATATGAAAAAACGAACATGCAATTCTCCTTGCAAATTCTTAATTGAATCATTCGATGACAATGCACCATTTGTATTTCAAACGATTGTTGGTTTCATTTCCCTTTGTGTTGTTCAACTTTTTTCCTTTTGCTGTTCGAGCTGCCCATGTAAGTAGGGCCATGCATGCTTTTACACTTTACTGAAATTGTATTCAGATATTCTCCACTCTCTTTTTTAGGTATTTAAGATGTAGCACACGTTACTGAAATTGTATTCAGATATTCTCCACTCTTATTTTAGGTAGTTAAGATGTTGCAAAAGAATGGTAGGATTCTCTTCAAATGAAGAAATAATTACTTGATTGATTGCTTATCTCATGCTACAGTGAAAAGAACGGGAAGTAGTTTTTACTGGCAGAAAAAGCACCTAATATTACCAAGCTTCTGCCAATAATCTGGCCTAGGAGTAAAGTTTCTGAAGTGAGAGATATTGTTATTACAAAACGACTGATACAGCCCCTAAGCTTAGCATGCTGCAGTCAATGATGAAATAGAATAGGGTATTTATATATTGCAGATACAGCACCTAAAAATAACAAGCTGCTGCCTAGAGAATCCTAAAAAAGATGAAGATTGATTGAATCTTTATAGGCCAGGGCTTAGCCATTTTAAGATACAGCAGCTAAGAACAGTAACGTGATGCCTATGTATGAATTCTTCTTCCGAGCGAGGATGTTCAGCACTCCTTCCCTCCTACCACCATCCTGGCAAAGGACCGGCACTGGAGTACCCAAATAGAGGCGTCTCTTATGGACCAGACAGGTTCGTTTTTAATTTAATGTCCAAAAGGGAAGTAAAGGTTGAATGGGAAGTCGGTGTTATAATTAGAAAGGTTTCAAAAGACTGACGGTCAAGCAGGAAATGCACCCCGCTGTTATTGTAAATGAAAATGTAACACACATTCTGACATCCGTAAGCATTCCACATTCTTGAGCATTTCTTACCTACATTATGACCTTGTATTTTTCCACATGCATTGAAATTCATGGAGACATAGCATTTAATTCTGCACCTAGAGTGAAACTTAAAGCATAGAAACCAAAGTGTAAAAACTTCCTTTTTGTGGAGGTACAGTAATTATCTCCGGTTTTCTATCTTCTCTTAGAGTACATCCTGTTTCAAGAGGTGTATTCTGGAAGAGCGTCGAGTCATGTAGGACCATACAAGAGAAAAGGTGAGAATTGCTAGGTTACTTGTCTTCTTTGCTTCCCAAGCATACTGATTTAAAAGGAGAGGTACCTGAAAACTTGGGGAAACTATGCTTTTGTGCGAGAAATAAAGGACACGAACATTCAGAAATCTTTCCCCATTCCATTTTCTTTAGCTTGTCGTTCTTACGAAGGGATCTGTTTTCTTGAGCTCATCCTACCCACCCTATGACCATATAGTTTTCAACAAGCATTGTGCTCCCATTGGAAACCTAGCTTTTGAGTGAAATCAAAATTGAGCGAATGTCGGGGAAAGCATAGAGATCAAGCTGTGAAGACGTTCTGTTCAGGGAAGTTCTTTAGTTTTCTTGTTTTCTGTTTTCTCAGAATACATCTTGTGTCAAGAGATTTGCTGTGGAAGAGAATCGAGTCCTGTAGGAGCAGCGGAGAGTAAAGGTGAGAAATGTGCAGTCTTGTTTGTTTTCTTTCCCTTTGAAATTGACTGATGTTAGTGAAAAGATATAATAAGAGTCAGAAGACCAAGTAGTAGGCTAAATGGCAGAGACAGCAATTAAGATTAGCAGGCTGCTGCCAGTAACTAGTGTTTCTTTTATACATTTATAAGCATTTTGATAAAAATGTGTGGCAGAGACAGCACCTAAGATTAGCAAGCTGCTGCCAATAACTAGTGATGTTTTATATATTTATAAGCAGTCTGGTAAAAACTCGTGGCAGAGACAGCACCTAAGATTAGCAAGCTGCTGCCAATAACTAGTGATGTTTTATATATTTTTAAGCATTCTGGTAAAAACTCGTGGCAGAGACAGCACCTAAGATTAGCAAGCTGCTGCCAATACCTAGTGTTTTTAAAAAAAATACATTTATAAGCATTCTGGTATAACCTTGCGGCAGGGTCAGCAACTAAGATTAGCAAGCTGCTGCCTATAAAACTACAGTAGACGAACATTGGCTTCTGACTTACTATATATGAAAAAACGAACATGCAATTCTCCTTGCAAATTCTTAATTGAATCATTCGATGACAATGCACCATTTGTATTTCAAACGATTGTTGGTTTCATTTCCCTTTGTGTTGTTCAACTTTTTTCCTTTTGCTGTTCGAGCTGCCCATGTAAGTAGGGCCATGCATGCTTTTACACTTTACTGAAATTGTATTCAGATATTCTCCACTCTCTTTTTTAGGTATTTAAGATGTAGCACACGTTACTGAAATTGTATTCAGATATTCTCCACTCTTATTTTAGGTAGTTAAGATGTTGCAAAAGAATGGTAGGATTCTCTTCAAATGAAGAAATAATTACTTGATTGATTGCTTATTTCATGCTACAGTGAAAAGAACGGGAAGTAGTTTTTACTGGCAGAAAAAGCACCTAATATTACCAAGCTTCTGCCAATAATCTGGCCTAGGAGTAAAGTTTCTGAAGTGAGAGATATTGTTATTACAAAACGACTGATACAGCCCCTAAGCTTAGCATGCTGCAGTCAATGATGAAATAGAATAGGGTATTTATATATTGCAGATACAGCACCTAAAAATAACAAGCTGCTGCCTAGAGAATCCTAAAAAAGATGAAGATTGATTGAATCTTTATAGGCCAGGGCTTAGCCATTTTAAGATACAGCAGCTAAGAACAGTAACGTGATGCCTATGTATGAATTCTTCTTCCGAGCGAGGATGTTCAGCACTCCTTCCCTCCTACCACCATCCTGGCAAAGGACCGGCACTGGAGTACCCAAATAGAGGCGTCTCTTATGGACCAGACAGGTTCGTTTTTAATTTAATGTCCAAAAGGGAAGTAAAGGTTGAATGGGAAGTCGGTGTTATAATTAGAAAGGTTTCAAAAGACTGACGGTCAAGCAGGAAATGCACCCCGCTGTTATTGTAAATGAAAATGTAACACACATTCTGACATCCGTAAGCATTCCACATTCTTGAGCATTTCTTACCTACATTATGACCTTGTATTTTTCCACATGCATTGAAATTCATGGAGACATAGCATTTAATTCTGCACCTAGAGTGAAACTTAAAGCATAGAAACCAAAGTGTAAAAACTTCCTTTTTGTGGAGGTACAGTAATTATCTCCGGTTTTCTATCTTCTCTTAGAGTACATCCTGTTTCAAGAGATGTATTCTGGAAGAGCGTCGAGTCATGTAGGACCATACAAGAGAAAAGGTGAGAATTGCTAGGTTACTTGTCTTCTTTGCTTCCCAAGCATACTGATTTAAAAGGAGAGGTACCTGAAAACTTGGGGAAACTATGCTTTTGTGCGAGAAATAAAGGACACGAACATTCAGAAATCTTTCCCCATTCCATTTTCTTTAGCTTGTCGTTCTTACGAAGGGATCTGTTTTCTTGAGCTCATCCTACCCACCCTATGACCATATAGTTTTCAACAAGCATTGTGCTCCCATTGGAAACCTAGCTTTTGAGTGAAATCAAAATTGAGCGAATGTCGGGGAAAGCATAGAGATCAAGCTGTGAAGACGTTCTGTTCAGGGAAGTTCTTTAGTTTTCTTGTTTTCTGTTTTCTCAGAATACATCTTGTGTCAAGAGATTTGCTGTGGAAGAGAATCGAGTCCTGTAGGAGCAGCGGAGAGTAAAGGTGAGAAATGTGCAGTCTTGTTTGTTTTCTTTCCCTTTGAAATTGACTGATGTTAGTGAAAAGATATAATAAGAGTCAGAAGACCAAGTAGTAGGCTAAATGGCAGAGACAGCAATTAAGATTAGCAGGCTGCTGCCAGTAACTAGTGTTTCTTTTATACATTTATAAGCATTTTGATAAAAATGTGTGGCAGAGACAGCACCTAAGATTAGCAAGCTGCTGCCAATAACTAGTGATGTTTTATATATTTTTAAGCATTCTGGTATAACCTTGCGGTAGGGTCAGCACCTAAGATTAGCAAGCTGCTGCCTATAAAACTACAGCAGACGAACATTGGCTTCTGACTTACTATATATGAAAAAACGAACATGCAATTCTCCTTGCAAATTCTAAATTGAATCATTCGATGACAATGCACCATTTGTATTTGAAACGGTTGTTATATTTATATATGGCAGATACAGCACCTAAGAATATCAAGCTGCTGCCTACAGAACCTTAAAAAAGATGAAGATTTGCCGTGATCTCTTCTAACTAAGCTATATAAAGCAATGGAGCTTAATCATTATAGGCCAG